TGATATCCAGGGAAGTAATGTCTTCCCCCAAAGGACTCCCCCAGTGTACCTGTGCTATAGCTCTGTACACATACTGCTCTGCCTTATAGCTCCTAAATATTCATTCATTCAAAATTTACTGAGTACTTACTAAGTGCCAAGTACCTAGTATCCATTCCCTCTCCCCAGCTGCACACTCCTTGAGGACAACCCAGGCCATGTCATACCTCCCATAGATCCTAGCACAGTGTCCTGCTACAGAGCCAGCATTCAACACATGTTAAGATTCGGGATGTTGTTACACCTCTGTTAAAAAACTCAGATGGCTCCCAATGCCAGCGTAATCCAATCCAAACCTCTCGGCCTGCCACCGAGGTGCTCCAGGGCCCACCCAACCTACTCCCCCCAGTCTCATGTTCCACTGCCCTCCCACACGTGCTCCGCATTCCAGTCTAAGAAGACACCTCGTCTGCCCCAAGCTTACCCTGTACCTTCTGCCTCTGCCTGTGCAGTTCCCTGCATGTGGACTTCTCTCTCACCTGCCCACCCTCCTTCCTGTTTCACCGCAGATGTCAATGTCTCAATACAGCCTTTCCTGGTTGATCCAAAGGGACAGGAGTCCCCTAATTCTCCCTTCCCATGGCACTCTGCTTACCTTCCTTACAGCCTCATCGTATTCCAGCCTGTGTCCTAGTCATTTAAGTCTGCCCAGAATTTGAGGTTGCCGTGAGCTAGGCTGACGCCACGGCACTCGCCCCAGGCAAGAGAGTGAGACTCTGTCTCAAAAAAAAAAAAAAAAAAAAGCTCCCACTCCCCCAAAGAAGCACATAAGAAGCATCATCAGAAGGAAAGCTTTTAGAAATCCAAAACACATCAAAGAAGAAAATCCTTTTTTTTTGTTGATATTTATAATCCATTATGAAGTAAATGTTAACTAGCCCAAGTGAATCAGGATCAATCCACATCAGGATCTTTAATCCACTAGCTGGCAGCAGGGACCAAGTACCCACTCTACTCAGAACCTGGGAAAGCCAAGGGAAGGAAAAAATACAACACAACCTACCTAGAGACCCTCCCTGACCCAGCGTGGCTTATTCAGTCATTCACACACTCGTTCCCCTACTTGTTGAACAAAATATACCCAAGCACTTCTCTGTTCCAGGCGCTGCCTGAACATATAGACAGGAATAGGGCAGAATCTCCACACTCGATGTGCTCATTCTTGTGGACATTGTCCTCTATCTCCAAAAGCAAACAACCCCTCTCCCTCGCTCCTATTCATGGACATCCTTCTAGGCACAAAACCCAAGCATCTCCTTTGAGTCCATCAGTATAGGTCTTACTGGTGGAAGAGAAGACAACAAAGTTGTCATTTCAGAGAACCAAACAGACTGAAGGCTTTGGATTTCATCCAACCAGACTAGGTCCCAATCAGAAGGAAGAGTTTCAAATAGACATATATCAGATTGATGGTAAAGATGGGACACTCAGAAAAAAGTGTCACATTTGGCAGTAAGTGTTAAAGTCATAATCAAACATACCTGATTGTGCAGAGCCAAAAACCTAGACAGTTTCTAAGCTAATAGGCAAAGCCTAACTACAAAAAGGGTCCTGCCCAATGGGTAGAGTTGGGTCACCCTGGAAGATCCATCTACAACTCAGGTCTCGAGTACCAAGTCAGGGCCCATCAGCTAGCATCTGAAACCTCAGCTGACTTGAGACAGTAATCCTGGATCTCAAGGTAAAGTGAAGACCAAGAAATATTAATAAGAGTCAGAAATAATAAGGGATAATAAGGAAACAAATTCAAATCCATGATATAAGCACTTCTGTTTTACTGGCCAGCTTTGTGATAATTCTAATGAAGTGTGAGTGACTTGTTTGATTCTAAGGTGTTTAAAGTATTTAAAAGAATTTGGTATATTAGACTTGTGAAAAGTTTAACTAATTGAGCCTACAACCAATATTTAAATGTTTAGGGAAATCTAACCTGTTGGCTTCATTATTCCTTGGTTGTATAAATACTTTGGAAATATTTCAAGAA